GCCATCGCGCCGCCGCCGCTCCCAGGGCACAATGGAGCCGCCGCGCCGCTCATGCATATGCATGACGCCGCGCGGCCCCGCCCCCAGGCCAGAGTAGTGGAGCCCCGAGTCGGCGCTCCGCGGGGCGGCCGGGGGCCAGGGCGGCGGGCCGGGCCGGCGAGGGGACAGCGGGCGAGCAGGGCGCGACGTGTGCCCCCGCCCCCTCCAAACCTGTGGAAACGCAGCGTCCACGGAGCCACCCGCGCTTCCGTCTCTCTCTCCGCCGGGGCGGGGATGGAGGCGGGGCCAGGGCGGAGGAGGCGGGGTCGGCCTGGCGGGAGGCAGGGCCAGGTGGGGCAGGGCCAGGAGGGCGGAGGGGCGGGGCTCGGCGGGAGAGGGGCGGGACTTGCCAGGCGGGGCGGGCAGATGGGCGGGGCCTGGGCGAGGTGGGGAGGGCAGGTGGAGGTAACCGGGTGTCAGCGGGCCACCTCTGGGAGTGGTCTTGTAGGGAAAACCGCTGGAACCAGACAAGTCACTTTGCTTTCTGCTCTTGGTCTTCCCACAGCCGCCGCCATTGAAACGTCCTTGAGTTCCAGCAGTTAAAGCAGCCTCTCTTTGATCAGTTCGCACCTTCCAAATGCTGTTATTACCCTTTAAGTTATTCTTCACTTTTTCCTATCCTCCTTTAGTGTCGTGAGCGGATGTGGCTATCAAAGTAGCAGTCTCACACACGTTTGTGTCTTTCCACAATGTCAGGCTTTATTAGAATAAAGCCATGGGTCTAGTCCTACTGACTCAGGCAATAACCGAGGCTCCGGCCAGAGGAGAGCCTCCAATAGTTGAGGTAGAACAGTTTCACATAAGAGGGTCACACAGGTTTGCAAGCAATAGGGTTAGGTGAGGCGAACAGCCTTATGCAAGAAGAATAAGAGAGAGAGTCCAATGTTCAGCGAGAGTCCCTTCAGCACTGGGGTACGTAACATCGGGCATCAGATGATGCCGGTGACACGGTCAGGAGGCGAGGCTTCAAGCACTCCACCTGGGACGAGTGCAGGTGCAGCTGTCAGCTCGTGGGCTGAGGCCTGAGCGAGGAGTGTCAGAGAGCTCAGATCTTATGCTCGAGACTGGGTGCGGTGCCCCCATCTGCAGTCCCATAAAGCGTCCAGGTGGTCACACTCCACCCTGGAGTTACCTGCTTAGATCAGTCGCTGGGTACGCTTTTTACAGGATGCTGTGACATAGCTGTCACTTTGTGACTGACAAACTATCAGTGTCATAATCAATGCTCCATACATTTAGGAAGACCACATTCTCTCATGATTACCCATCATTTTTTGTGTTAAAGTATACATAACATGAAATTTACCACCTCAACAATTTTTAACCAGTTCAGTGGCACTGAGCACACTCACACTGGGGTAGCCATCACCATTTCCATCCACAGAACTCTGGTCATCCTGCAAAGCGGGAACCCTGGCCCCATCGAACCCTGGCTACCCCTCTCCTCCCCTCCCCCAGCCCTGGCACCACCATCTGCTTTCTGTCTCTATGAATCTGATGACTCCAGGGGCGGCATGTAAGTGGAATCATTCAGTATTTGTCCTTTTGTGTCTGGCTTATGTACTCAAGGTTCCTCCAGGTTGTAGCAGGTGTTAGATTTCCTTCATTTTTAAGGCTGGATAATATTCCATTGTGTGTACACACCATATTTTATCCATCCATCTGTCCACAAATGCCCCACAATTAAATTTATTTTTTTAAGATTTTTATTGGGGAGTTGAAGGATGGGAACAGTGCTAGGGAATTGGGGGAAGGGGAACAGACAAGTTGCTGTCGTTTTGTTCCTTTTTTTTTTTTTAAAGATTTTTATTGGGGAATTGGGGGATGGCAACAGTGCTAGGGAATTGGGGGAAGGGGCACAGACAAGTTGCTGTCCTTTTGTTCTTCATTCTTGTTCTGGAGGACGTTGCTTCACTGGCCCAAGTTGGCACCATCATTGCACTCTTTCCGGGTGAGGCAGATCAGTTCCCAGCTTCTGGATGGCTGCTCACTGTGGCTGTTGGTTACACACGGTAGCCCATGGCAACCCACTGCCACAGGGGCTGCAGCCTACACTGTCACCGGCGACTCATGGCAGCCCAGCTCCAGGTCGAGTTGTTGTTCAGCATCTTAGCTGTAGATGGCAGTGTCACTGGCCCTCATATGTGGGATC